AGAAAGAGAAATAAGGGGGGGGTGTGAGAAGGAAATTGGAGCGGGAGGAGAGATTGACATTCATCACATACACACAATGCACCCCTTGCACACACAGAAACACACAATGCATTCATTACACACACTTAATGCACCCCTTACACACATTCAATGCATCCCATACATACACAGAAACACACCTTGCAGTCCTTACACATACAAACACAATTTCACACAATGCATTCCTTACACACATATCAGGACATCCCCTACACTCTCCACCCCCTGTGAACAAACTCATTGGTGGAACATGAAGGTGGACCCTGGGACCCAGACCTTGAGCTGTGTAAAGGACCCCCAAAAAATGGAGCTGCTTCCCGTTCTCCCAGAACATTGATTTTGTGACCACAGTTACAAACAGCCTCCAGAGATCCTGTTCTACACCAGACCAGTGGAACCAGACTGCAGCTAGAGCCCATCATCATCCTCATCTGGTTGTAAGTAGGCAATCTAGTATATTATTCGTGGCACTAAGCTCTAATTTACCTCACATTAAAGAAACACTATAGTCCCCAGAACCACTTCAGCTTAATGTAGTGGTTCTGGTGTCTATAGCCTGTCCCTACAGGCCTTTTAATGTAAACACGGCGGCACTGCAGCACTGGCGTTAGTTAACATGGCAAATCATATGGGTGGGGCATTGTGATGTCACATGGGGGGGGCGGCAAACTTTACTTTTGCCTAGGGCGGCAAAAATTCTTGCACCGGCCCTGGCTGGAGGGGGCTGTGTGAGCTGTGGCTGCACAGTGTCCCATGGTAGTTAGGGTGCCATGTGGCCAGTACAGCTCACACAAGCAAACAGCTGATAAACTGGCCGCACGGAGGAAATGTGTATGTGTGACTGTCTGCCTGTGACTGTGTGTGGCTGTCTGCCTGTGACTGTGTGTGGCTGTCTGCCTGTAACTGAGTGTGTGACAGTCTGTCTGTAACTGAGTGTGTGACTGTCTGCCTGTAAATGTGTGTGTGGGGCTGCAGGGATTTTGTAGAAGGGGGCGGGGTTTTTGTATTGGGACTGGAGTCTTTATAAGGGGGGATAAGCAGGAGATTTGTGGAAGGGGGTTGCGGGGGTTTTGTAGATGGGGCAGTACAGGATTTGTAGAAGGGGCAGGACAGAGGTTTTGTAGGAGGGGCGGGGCAGGACAAGGGTTTTGTAGGAGGGGCTGACAGCGGTTTTGCAAAGTTTACAAATTGTAAAAATAAAAGAAAGAAAACCTTTAACATTTTTTACTGGGTTTTTTTGGGGGGGGGGGGAGGGGAGGGGTGCCAAGCACAGGATCCGCCCCGGGTGCCAAATGCTCTAGGTACGCCCCTGCTTCAACTAATTACCTATAAGTACTTGTTAAATTATTGTCCATCCACTTTTACTGTTTGGCAGTTTTATACTGCTCACCTATCCTCTGATGTGCTCTGGCACTTTACATATTGTGCCTGCTCCCCCTCTGGAGCCCCACTGCCGCTGCACTAATCAGCGGCGGCATTTTTACACTCATTCCCGGCCTAACTCCTGCAGCCATCACATTAGGCTGTCAAAAGTCCAACCGGCCCATTTGTACGCGTCATTTTGTGACGCAAAGTCTTTTCCCGCCCTTTTTGTTTGCGGCGGCCATCTTACACTCATGCTGCACTTTCCTGCCTTTTTGCCATTTGTAAAGTGCAGAATACTACAAGACGGATGCAAGCTCTGCCTGCATCTTGTCTAGCGATCATGTAAGTTTTTATTTCAGATTTAATAGTGTATTTCCTCTGCTCCAATCCATTACCATGTATTCTTTGTGCTATATATTTTATTTTTTGCAGATTTCTGCCAAACGAACACTGTACAATTCTGACCACCACATATTAAATTGATTTATTATTCAATTCACACAGGTGACCCCTATATTTTTTAATTTATTTGAGCCTTACAATTGGGTGATCCACTGTTTATATATATCTAAACTCCCTAACCAGGGATATATTTTGTGGGTGACCCCGACTGCATCAATTTGACTGTTCAATCCACTATGTTACACCAATATTTTTGGGTGATCCCCACCTATGCTATATAAGTTTTGTGACTGACCCCACTTTCCTTAATATTTGGTTAACCCCACTTTATTTATGTTGGGTGACCCCCACTTATTATTCATCATGTGGTAACCCACCAATATTTGGGTGAACCCCAATAGTCCTACTCACATATTACTGGGTGAACCCCATTTGTTACTGGTGAACCCAGTCATTCTATATATCTGATCTTATTTTCAAATACATACTACTTTGTTTTATAGCTTGTACATAGTTATTTTCATACATTTATTATAGAATGTCTGAACAATCAGGCCCTACAATCTCCGCTGAGATTTCGTGCTCGGCTGTACTCCGCTATAGCGGATTCTATTCCTAAGGCTATAGCAGCCTACTGTGAGCAACCTATAAGCGTCTCAAAACCTCCTGCTCATGCAGATTCTAATTCAGACAATTCTTATATGTCAGATCATGAGGAAGCCCCGCGCAAGGGGACACCAGCTAAATCTGTCAAGTTATCTTTAACACCAAAAAAAAAAAAAAAACTGCTTTAGATAAAGTTCATTGCTTCATTTAATAATTCATAATAATATTGTATAGACAAAATTCATTAGTTGCAAAAGATGTACAAAAAAATAAATAATTTGATAGTATAGTGCTCTCTCGGGACCCATGGATATTAAACACAGTAAGAGGTTTCAAAATAGATTTCACAACCTATCCAATCCAACAATCCCACTGTGGATGTCCACAACAAACTAAACTGCTTTGCATGTAGAAATAGACAACAAAATGGAGCTGTCGAACGATCGTCCTCGCCACGCATATTCATCAGCAATATGTTTTTGGTTAGCAAGAAGATGGGAATTTTCCGTCCAGTCATCTGAGGGACCTAAACCAACACATCATGTATCAGCACTTCAGGATGGAAGGCATCCATCTTCTATGAGACCTCCTGTGCGTGGGAGACTGGTTCTCCCGATTTGATCTCAAGGACGCATTCCTCACTGCCTGTCACTCAAAAACATTGTCCTTTTCTCCAATTCCATTGGCTACAAAACATTTGGCAGTTCACCTGCCTCCCCTTCAGCCTTTGTTCCACCCCTTGGGGTTTCACCAAGTTGATTAAACTAGTTATGGCTCTACTCCGCTCGCAAGGAATTCGGTCCATCAATTACTTGGACGACATTCTAATCATGGCTCAAGATCGGCAGACCCTGTGTCACCAAGCGGACATGACCTCTGCACTACTCCAAAATCTAGGATTTATCATACATTTCAAAACTCCGCTCTAGAACCCTCACAAACAGTGCAATTTCTTGTATTTCAGACAGACTCCATACAAGCTATCCTTCAATTACCTTCCTCCAAGATCAGAGCCATAAAAAAGGACATTTTAGAAACTATTGTCCTCTCAAAACATTCACCTACTAGATCTCGCACACATGATCGGTCTCCTCTTGGCTTCCAGACAAGCTATATATCTGGGACTACTACATTATTGAGCAATGCAACGCTTGAAGACTTTTTACCTACATTGGTCCACTTCATACGACCAACTAATTTATTTAACAAAGTACGGCTGGAACTTCATTGGTGGCTCCACAACATGGACGCCTGGAATGGAAAAGCCATATTCGGCTCCCAACCAGATTTTATTCTGGAGTCAGATGCCAGTCTTCTTGGATGGGAAGAAACATGCTCCAAAATTTCAACTGGAGGCCTTTGGTCTCCTGAGGAACAAGCACTCCATATCAACTGTTTGGAGCTTATCACAGGCTCCTTTGCGATCCGCAGCTTCCCAAAAGACATGTACAATTGCTCCTTAGTACCATGAATGCACAACATATCCGCGTCCCATTATGTGAACCACCTCGGGGATGCATGCGCCAATACATCTCTCTTATGACTCCACTCAGAGCACCCTCGGGTCCTCTATTCAGGTCATATGTCCGACTTCATAAACCAGTCTCCTGCCCGATTATTGCCGATTGGATTAGGTGGCTACTCACTCTAGCAGGGATTGACCCCTATTTTGGTGCTCATGCAGTGAAAGGTGCAGCTGCATCTTCTGCCTTGGGCGCAAGAGGTTCTCTGACCGACATCTTATCCTCAGCAGATTGATCTAGGGAAGCTACTTTCTGGGGAAGCTACTTTCTATTTCAGACCTGTGTCCCATGCTTCTCTATCTATGATTTCTCAGCTTTAAAACAGCACATATGAAGCCTCCTGTCTTGCCATAAAATTAGGGATTTTTCTAGCTTAGTGACCGAATAATCGAAATTTTATTAAAGACAGGAGGCAAATATTTTCCCTCCCTTCTGCTCTTCTCACCCTAAGCTATTTGTTTCTGAACCATTTTGCCATATTTGTTTACAGATTTCTATTTGTCCTGTTACATTTTAAGCCATTTATGACATGACCTTATATTGTTACCTATAGCCAACCTTGCCTGTTTAACTCTATTTGGTTTTATTAGAGTACTAATACATTAGTCTTACCTATTTAAATCTATTTTGATTTCTTCGTATATAAGTACATTAGCTATGTTATACTAACATAGGCATTAGCTCTATCAGGATATTATATCTAACCTACAAACTAGGACATTGTATTGTTTTTTCTTGTACCAATAAACCATACTTTTACAATGTCTCTTCTTCTTTCCAGTGTGAAAATCCATCCACTTTATTAAATGGATCCCTCTTCGGTTCATAGTTTACCTGGGTGACCAATCGACTGCATTTACCTGTTGTTTCCTTTTATCGTTTCATGGTTGACTCTACTGCAATTCAGAAGCATCAAGAAAGAGGAGTTGGGAGGAGCCTGATTACAATACATACTACTGTCATGCTCTCTGGTTAATTTTTATTTATCTATTATTAACTGTATCTTTGCTACTGGAGGTATCAGTAAAGAAAGATAAGCAAATAGTCGCCTACTGTAAAAAAAAAAAAAAAAGTTACCTGCGCTCTCTCCTAAATTCCTATGTATATTGAAACAAATGGAGGTAATTTAGTTACTCCAATTGCCATTGGAGAGAATGCCCGTCTGCCAACGTCAAGGCAGACCCCCTCAGGTGGGTCCTACACTGACCTTTCACCTTGCTTCCTTGAGCTTTTGGCAAAGATATCTCTAATGAGACAGAGAGGGGTATTTTTTATTTACACCCCTATATACTTATTAACCCTTAATAGGGAACATATGGGATGGGCGGCAGAATTGTAACATAGCTGTGTGATACAAAAAGTGAAAACAAATACAAGAAAAAAAATTTGATTATTCGATCAC